TCGTAAACACACTTCACGTGCCAAATTCCAGCAGCTGCACGAATCCGGAATGAAATCCTAGTTTAATCTGAGCTCGTCTCGCACAAATGAGCGTGACAGTCTGCTGGTGTAAAACACAAGGTGAAACCATTACCTGGCCTGCTTCACTGATGCTGGGAGAGCGCACAGCTCGTTAAACAGAGTCTGGACATCACACAACATTATTACAAGAGAAGTTTCACATGTGTGAGAGATTTCTCATAATGAGAGACAGCTAAATACAGCGCAGCCCGAAATATCACGGCATCATCATACGTCACAGATCATTAACGAGATCAGCGATGATTAAATTAAAGCCTCGTGCTGTGACAGTTCTGAACGGCTAATTCTATAAACGTGATTTCAAATCAAACATTAGAATGAACTTGCATGCTTGCTTAATCCTAAAATAATACTCGTGCAAAACAAAATGCATTGAAATTCATTATTTCTACGAATACTGTTCTGGGTTACCATGGCAACCAGGACATCTCAGCTTGACCTGACACACTTTATGACCTAAAGATCCTTCATTCCCTACTGAAACACACACCTAAGACCCACAGAAAAGGACTTTTCCCCATTAATCTGTAGCCAAAGCTTTCTACGGATGAAATACAGATCGCCAGGTCACTGTGCATTATTACTCATGCATTGTCTTTTGTATCTACACTGTTTTATGCATGCGTTATGATAGAATCACTAGTTAATGCAACCTCACCTATACCATGTTTGGTATCTATGAACAGTGTTGGGGTAAGTTACTTTTAAAAGTAATGCATTACAATATTGCGTTACTCCATGAAAAAGTAACTAATTCCGTTACTCAGTTACTTTTTATGGAAAGTAATGCGTTACGTTACTTTTGCGTTACTTTTTAAATCTGAACAGGGCTTGCTTGTTTGTTTTTAAAATAAAATAAATTTTTGGCGAAAATAAAAGCCTTTTCACACCAAAAGGGAAATGAATAAGCCTCAGGCTGAAGGGAAAGTACATTTACGTCCGTACAGTAGAATGCAGAAGAAGAAATATTGAAATGTTGATGTAGAAACACTCTTCAGCAATAAAAAAAGACACAAATGTTTGTCTAAAGTAATTTGTGCTTATTAGTACGGTTGAACTGGATCATCGAAGGTCAGAAGCATAGACATTGGGTAATAAAAAAGGGGTTAAA